ATGGGACCAGCAGTTAGGATAATGGCTATGTCGCTGGACTCCCATGTAGTTGACCGCGGTTCATGTCCCCGACCCGGTGGCTTAAAACTCACACCAGGCGCATGTGCGTGCATGCCCAAGATCCTGAGAGGAGAATGGAGGTGAAGAGATTGCGGTGTGGCCATCCCCCCGGGGGGTGATTTCTCGCTTTCTGTCTGTCTCTCTCTGTCTGACGAGCGCATGCATCCTATAGCAAAAACCTCTCCAAAAAAAAAAACAAATATATGGAAACAACCTACTCCTGACTGACTTCAAAATGACTGAAAAAATTAAGAGTAAAAAAGATTTATTGAAACCAATGCTCTAACAAACAGGTTAAGATGAGCAGCATTGGGACCAGCAGGTAGTGTGGTAGTTGGGGCGCTGGACTCCCACATGGCCGACTGCAGTTTGAGTCCTGGACCTGGTGGTTTCCTTTCTCTCTGTCTCTGTCTCTCTTTCTCTCTGGTGAGCACACATGGCTGATAGCAAGTTAAATAATGAATAAATTTTTAAAAATTAGCAGCATCATTTTAAGACTCTTGGAGTTCCAAGAAATCCTTTGGTGGCAATGATTCACTGCCTGGGCCCTCTGAAGGGAGATGCTGACGTCATCAAAATATCCCAGGTGGCTAATGAGCCCAAGTGGGCAAATATCCTTTCCACAGGTAGTAGCCCTCTAGGCCACAAGGGAAGCCCTTCCATGGTCCCACTTTGGTCAGGAGGCCCTTTTTCATTGGCCCCAGAGGGCTGGTAGGTGGCGTGGTGGCTAAGGTGGTTGACTCCCACGTAGCTGACTGTGGTTTGAGTCCTGGACCTGGAGGCTTGCTTTTTCCCTTTCCCTCTCTCTTTCGCTCTGTCTGGTCAAATTAAAAAATATTGGGGCTGGCAGGTGGTGTGGTGGTTAAGGGCACTGGACTCCCACACGGCCAACCATGGTTCAAGTCCTGGACCTGGTGGCTTGCTTCCTCACTTTTCCTCACTGACTCTCTCTCACTCTGTCCCTCTCTGGTGAATTAAAATAAATAAATAAATAAATAAACAAACAAAAATTTAAAATATTAAAAATAGGGGCAGGCAGGTGGTGTGGTGGTTAAGGACACTGGACTCCCACATGGCTGACTGGTTTGAATCCTGGACCTGGCGGCTTGCTTTCTCACTTTGTCTCTCTTTCATTCTGTCCTTCTCTGGTCGAATAAAATAAATGAAATAAATAAATAAAAATTTTAAAGAATTATTTTATTTAACTTTATTTATTTGTTTGTAAATGTGATCAGAGAGGGACAGAGTGAGAGAGAGAGGGAGAGAAAGCAAGAACGCAAGCCACCAGGTCCAGAACTCAAACCACAGTCAGCCATGTGGGCGTCCGGCACCCTTAACCACCATGCCACCTGCCAGCCTCTAAATTAATAATCAAAAGAAAAAATCCTGACAGCCCCAATTTTAGAATGTTAATTAAAGTAGCTGAAGCCTGCCCCGCCTTGTGCCTTAACCCATCAGTGGGGTCAAAGAAAGGAGCCAATAATTTGGTTCAGTACAGGGGCTGCTGGCCAGAAGACTGGCAAACAGACTTAACTATTTTTTTCTTTTTAGTTTGCTATCGGGTGTGTGCCTTTGGCCAAGACAGACAGAAAGAGAGTGAGAAATCATCCCCCCGGGGGATGGCCACATGGCAATCCCTTCTCTTTTCTCTTGGGTTTTGGGGCATGAAAACACACGCATCTAATGTGATTTTTACGCTGCTGGGTCTGGAACTGGAACCGCAGAGTTGGCCATGTGGGATTCAATACCTTAACCTTTACACCTGCTGGCCCTGGCAAGTATTTCTTAATCATGCCCAAAGCCATAGGAAATTTTGGGTATCTCCTTGGTTTAACTGATGCTTTCTCAGGCTGGGCAGAGTTCCTTGTTACCTGCAAGGAGACAGCATCTGGGGCAGCCAGAGAATCCTCTGAGGAAACCATCCCCTGGTCCGAGTTGCCCCAGTCTCCTCAGAGCGATAATGGGCCAGCATTCACATCTTCTGTCTCCAAGGCCACCTCTCTAGGGTGGGATCCAAATGGCACTTACACGCAGCGTTGAGGCCTCTGCCCCCCAGCTAGGTGGACCGTCTAACCACACTTAACCTTGGCCAAGCTGTCCGAGACTTGTCTCCCATACTGTCCGGCTTCCACAGCCTTGCTAAGGGTCAGAATCGCTCCCAAAGGAAAGAGCAAATTAAGCCCTCGTGAACTAATGAATGGAGGCCAGCCCTGGCTTGGGTGGACAGCCAGGCAGCTCTGAGAGTTGAGGAAGAGGAGGTCAAATACATTACTCAGGTATGGGGAGGTAGTAAGGCCACGTCGAGCTTACAAGAACCAGTAGCTACTGTCCCCTGGTGACTAACCCTCCACCCACTGCAGCCAGGAGACTGGGTCTATCTCAGGATCTAGAAGGAGGGAAGTCCCCAGAACCAACTAGAACCCAAATGGAAGGGATTCCACTTGGTGATTTCCACACTAACAAGCACTCAAGTGACAGGAAACCAGTCCTTGGATACACCACAGTAGGATGAAGAGAACGATTCCCATTGGAAAACTCTCCTACCAAGCTGAGCCTCTCCCAGATCTGAAACTTCCTTCCATTCAAGAGTCAAAGACAAGGGGCCAGTAGGTGGCGTAGTGGTTAAGGAGTTGGACTCCTACATGGTCAACTGTGGTTCGAGTCCTGGACTTGGCAGCTTGAAACTCAGACTGGGCACATGTGAATGCATGCCCCAAAATCCTGAGAGGAGAAGGGAGGAGAAGGGATTACAGCATGGCCACCCCTCTACCTCCTGATGATTCTCACTTTCTGTCTCTCTGTCTCTCTGGAGAGTGCATGCACCCTAGCAAAAATCTCTTAAAAAAAAAGTCAGAGACAAATGACTGTACTCCTAACCTAACATGAGAGATCGTGTCCCTTTGACTCTCCTCCTTGGGGCATTCTTCTTTATGCTTCTTGTGCTCTACCCGGGGGCCTAAATCACATAAATAGCAACTGTAGAGTCAGAAAAGAGCCTAGAACAAGCAAGTGGAAACATGGCTTCCACGCTGAGGCTTCTGCTAGTGAAATCTGAAATCTGGGAAGTGCGCCCTACCGAACGTTCTGTTTCTTGCATCTTCTAGCTCCACTGCTAACCATCATCCCTTTACTTGCTTTGAGCCATGCATTTTAAACCTGGTAGTAACCCAGAGACTAAAATCTATAAAATCACCAATGATAGCCACCCAGGGGTATAAAACGCTGGGTGAAAAATCAGATATATTTAAGAACAGCTAGGGAAAAGTTTCAGTCTTTTAATGTAGACCCTGATGACATCCGTATTCAGCGGGCAGAAATGATAGAAAATGGACCTTCGGTACCCCTAAAGAGTGAGGAGTGAATATAAAGGGAGGAATTTTGTCACTCACTGTATAACCTATGTTCATACCGTACCCCAGCCCCTCCCTAAACATGGCCTGTCTTTATTTTGGACAATAAGATGCATGCCACTAGTTAAGAGAAGGCTCCCACTGAGACACCCAACCTGAGCCAGTTAGAACCAAGATGGCGCCTAGAACGACCTCTCCCAGATCTTCACTCATTACGCCCTCACTATATCACGTCAGCACAAGACAGTGGCACACCTACCAGTGCCACAGCAGTTTACCTTCACCAGGGTTACCACCAGGAATGACCTTGTAGGGAGAAAAACGAGGCTGGTTTGGGAATTCTGAGAAAGGCCTACCTTTTCCAGGAAAAGCGCTGAAGATTTCTCCCCTCCCTGGTCCTGCTTCTTTCCCTCATTACCCCATTTGCTAGATCTTCAAGTCCCAGCTCAAGATGGGTGAGAAGTTGACTTGTGAGCTGGGCTCCCCCTTCTCTAGTCCTTTGTCACTGAATGAAGTGTGTACCATGACACAGTTTAAGTTTTAAAAGTTGACCCTATGACACTGAACGGCAAAAGATCGCATCTTTGGGAATAAATGAAAAATGGCGACGTTAGTATCGCTGCATCTACATACTTCTCCCCGTGCCCTCTGCCAAGCTCGCAGTCGGAACCACCATCAGTCCTGGGACCGATTGCAGCTGCTTCCTCAGTTGGCCTCCAGCCTCCAGTCCAGTCACTATCCTGCAGCCTGCGTGAACCTTCTAGAACGAAACTGACTGTGTCGCTACACTGATGGAAGGCTTCTCCCGCTCTAAGACAAAACCCAAACTTCTCATGGTGCAGAAGGTCCCGGGCCTCCCCCTCTCTCCTCCTAGCACCCTCTGATCCTCACTTGGGTCTTCCTCCTTTCCATCCTCTTTGAGGGGATTTGCAAATCCTCTCGAGCATTTCTTGCCTCCTCCTTTTGTTCCTGCTGTTCCCTTTGCCCAGGAACCTTTCTCTCCAGCGCTGCTGCCCTTGTCCTCCGGCCAGCTAATGTTTAGCTCGTCCTTGAAGTCCAAGTTTATATGCCACTTTGGGGAAACCTTCCTGACTCCTCGAGGTAGGTAGAAATGGGCCTGCCCTGGGGTCTTACAGCAGCCTGTGTGTCCCCATCACACGCACTGTATTTCCGTCACATCACAGTGCTTCACCGTTGAGCGCCTGGCCTAGGCCTGGGGCAGAGTAGGTGCTCAAAGCCTTGCCGACCTGACTGTGAATTATACACAAACACAAACACGGTGAAATCGGATCAGACATCCAAAGATCGCCTGTGGGGCTCAGAGGAGACTTGACCTGCTTTTGTATCTGGGAGGAAATATTTGAACAACCTGAAGCAAATCCAATAACACTGCCTCATTACCTTTTCCCCTCAGAGCTGCCAGCAAGATTGCTTTGGAGTTAAGTCCTTTAATTAAAATACCCGGGACTAAAGCCTTGGAAGTGAAATGAGGGCAGCCGTGCTGAGCAGGGCTGGGGAAAAATGGCAGAACTGGGACTTTCCCAGCAGGGGAGCCTGCCTGGGAGACAAAACGGGTCCCTTTCAGCTCACCTTGGCAGCCTGGAGGTGTATGACAGTGGTCCGGTTCCAGGCCTCGTGCTGGTCAGCTCCGGATTGCATCAGAGTCTGTAAATGACTCACCGAGTCCTTTATGAGCCTGAAACCCGAAAACAAAGGCTCAGCTTCCTGGCTGAGTGGAGAGAAAGACAAGCCACGGGTTGTCTGGAGTGGGAGCCACCCCTGCTGAATGACCACTGCGTGCTCTAAAGCCAACGCTTTGCTATGCATGATCTCTAACGCTTTTCTCCTGTGTGATGGAGCGGGTGCGCACATGTGAGAGAGGAGCACCTCCATGGGGTCTGCCCACACCGCGACCACCTTCCTCCAGCGCTCCGGTGCTTTTCCAGGGAACAGTCAGGAATAAACCGCCCCTTACTCAGCCTAGATCTTGGGCACTTATGTGCGTGTCCTGTGTGTTTTGGGCTGACCTGACCCGGGGTTCAAACTGCAGTCGCCATGCAGGAATCACTTCTCGTAAGCAGTGCTTTACTGCCACGCCAAGGAGCCAGTCCATCGCTCTAATCCTTTTCAGGCAGGTGTTCCCAGTTGACAGTGGGGGAAACTGAGTCCTAGAGTGGTCACCTGACTTACCCTGGGTCACTCAGCTAGTGAGAAGGGGAGCTGAGATCTAGCCTCAACCCCCAGGGTTATAAAGTTCAGGGTCACAGACCAGGAGCTGTCCCCTTTTTCTAATGTATAGTCCATCCTGATTCCCCTGTTTCTAGGCTGTTCTGTTGACTGACTTCCTGTGGCCCCAGCAAGGAGAATGGTTTTCTTGTAAAGGCCAGCAGGGCCTGGTGGTCACACAGCCTGCTGTAGGGAACCTCAAAGCAAAGACAGAGAACTGACCCTTGTCCTTCAAACATTAAGCTAGTATTTGCCATTTTATGAACCTTTACTCCCCTTTTGTTTGTCGTGCCCTGTCCATCCACCCATGACCCTTGGAATCTGTGTGTAAAAGAATCTGTTTATTAAGCAGTATTTGCTCTGTCAGGGAACAGATAAGCAGATGTGACATTGAGTTTCAAGTAAGGAGAAAGAGAATGGCATTTTTTTAAGAGAAATTTTTGCTATAGGGTGTGTGTGCTTGTCAGAGAAACAGAGACAGAGAGAAAGTGAGAAATCACCCCCCAGGAGGGATGGCCACACCACAATCCTTTCTCCTCTATTCTCCTCTTGGGACTTTCGGTACACATGTACATGCGCCCTGTGTGAGTTTGTTTGTTTTTTTGAGAGGTTTTTCGCTATAGGGCTCGTGCACTCGCCAGACAGAGAGAGACAGAGAGACAGAAAGCGAGAAATCAACCCCCAGAGGGGATGGTCACGCCACAATCCCTTCTCCTCCATTCTCCTTTCGGGATCTTGGGCATGCACGCACACGCGCCCGGCGTGGGTTTTAAGCCGCCGGGTCCGGGACACGAACCGCAGTCGACTACGTGGGAGTCTAGCGACATAGCCATTACGCTAACTGCTGGTTCCCCCCTGTGTGAGTTTTAAGCTGCCGGGTTTAGGTCTTGAACTGTGGTCGACTACATGGGAGTCCAGCAAAGTAGTCATTAGGCCATCTGCTGGTCCCAAGAATGGCATTTTAATTACCCCAATCAGGGACCAGCAGGTGGTGTGATGCTTAAGGCTCTGGACACTCCCATAAGGCCAATCGCAGTACAAGTCCTGGACTTGGTGGCTTGCTTTCTTACTTTTCCTCTCTCTCTGGTCAAATTAAAAAATAAATGAATGAATAAATTACCCAAGCAACCTCATTTTCCCTTCCTCAGTTCCCACAGCTGAAATGTCACCTCTGGGAGGCCCCATTTTTATCTGATTGGTTTCTTGGTAGCTCCCGTGGGCCTAGAACAGTGACTGGCATATTGTAGGCACTTCATAAATATTTGTGGAATAAGCAAATACACTTCAAGCTGCCTTTGATTTCAAAATAATTATTTTTTACAATTTTATTATTATTATTTTAATTTGTTATAGGGCACACATGCTCACAAAGAGAGACAAGAGAGAGAGAGAGACAGAGAGAGAGAGAGAGAGAGAGAGAGAGAAAGCCGCCAGGTACAAGACTTAAATTGCACTTGGCCATGTGGGAGTCTAGAACCTTAACCACCATGCCACCTGCCTGCTCCTCAAAATAATTATTAACCATCCCTGGGACCAGAAGTTGGGATATAAGACTTCACATTATATGCTGAAAGTACTTTTTAAATTTTTTTTTTCCAGTTTGTGTCTGGTGTTTTCACCTGGAGCAGGGCTTGGAAGGTTTTCTTTTTAGGTAATTAGCTCTTGGCCATGACTTTTCTGTGATGGGTTCTATGTGTGGCCAGGACCTCTCTTCATCCTCAGTCCCTAGCATGCTTGCTCATTCCTGACACACGGTAGGTGCATGACAGACAGTATTTGTAGAAAGGCAGAATGGAAGACTCCTTGGTGTTGCCGTGTTCCCTAGAGCTCACAGATCCTGGAACTAAACCTGTACCCTTGGTACAGTCGTACTTTTGAAGATTAGCTTTAGATTATGGGACATCTCAACATTCAGGTAGTGCCTTAATTACTGGCATTCACCTGTCAATTCATTTATAATATTTACACGAGTACCTTTGTTGGATTGCAATCCACCCTAGGAACCTAAAGATCAAAACTGTTGCTCCAGAGACAGTAGGGGATTGAGGCAAGGGACATTCCAACACCTATGGTAAAATCTGACAGACAGCTGAGAGGCCGGGCCTGAGCCGGGGGAACCAAGATGGCGTCTGGAACGACCGCTGCCTGACCTTCAGACTCACCGCACCCACACTGTCCTGCATTAGCGTGTTGAGTGACACTCCCTCCTGCTCCTTGACAGTTCACAATAACTTTAACAATGTCCACAACTATGGAGGGACAGTGATTCCAGGAAAACCACTGCCCATTGCCCAGAAAAGTCAGAAATAAACTGCCCTTTCACCTGGCATTTAGCCAAGCCATACAAGTCTGATACCCACCCAGGTATCTGAGTGGGGTTCACAGTTCTCCCCTTCCTCTCAAGGCTTGCAGCCAGGGACAGAAAGGCAGTGTTGGCTTGTCCCAGGCCATTTCCCTGATCCTGTCCATCAAGGAGGGGAGGGGTCTGTTCTTTTGCTCCCCTCCCTGGTTGTGCCAGCTATGGAATGCTGGGCTCTGTGCACTTCCTTTCAGGACCAGCAGATGGCGTGGTGGTTACATCGCTGGACTCCCATGTAGCTGATCACGGTTTGAGTCTCAGACCTGGTGGCTTAGAACTCAAACCGGGTGCATGTGTGTGTGTGCCCAAAATCCCGAGAGGAGAATGGAGAAGGGACTGTGGTGTGGCCAACCTCCCAGAGGGTAATTCCTTGTTTTGTGTCTTTCTCTCTTTCTCTCTGTGTCTCCGGCAAGCACACATGCCCAATAACAAAAATCTTCTCCCTTCCCCCAAAATACACCCGCTTCCGGTCGCTCAAAGGCTCACTCTTGGAGTCTTTCCTGTACAAGGCCCTTTCCCCACAGGCTGAGTCTCCCCGGTGACACTCTCACTGGCCAGGAGGTGATGTCCTTCTACTACCGTGACCAGGATGGGACATGATGGTGGTGGATGGCTGGCGGTGACACTTGCCTTCTCTCCAACCACGGTGGCAGGAGCTGAGAGGACTGGGGAGGCTCCGGAAGGGGTGGTTTTAGTTGCCCTTTCATGAACGCCCACCCAGTCCAGGCGGGCCCAGGCGGACGGCTGATTCTTGGCTGGCTCACCTGACTGCCACGTGTGCCCAGGCCGCCGTGTAGAGCTCTGGACACAGGAAGTCGGCTGCCTTCTGGGCTGGGCACCTGGCCAGGTCGGGCGTGGTGAGATACATGACAGACTGCGGGAGAGGCTTCTGCGATGCGGAGCCTGGAGACAGCTGAGCCTGCCGGTAGCTCTTCACCAGAAACCTGGGAGGTGGGGGAGAGGTGCTGAGATGGGGGGCTCTGGGACAGCCCCTCGCTCCCACAGATATGCAGTCATGCTGGGCTCCAGCATGCCCATGGGCCTTGGCCCCGCCTCCCTCCCGATGGTCACCCTCACTCCACAGCCCCCTTATACTGTTCCGCTGTGAGGCCCTCAGCGAGGTGCACCCCAAGGCTGCCATGTCCTCAACAATGAAATGGAGCTGGGGCAGCCACCCAGATCCTGAACACAGACCCTTCTGAGAAGCGAGCAGCAGCATCTCTGTCAGGGTCTTTTCTTTTTTTAAGATTTATTTATTTAATTTTATTCATTATTTTTATTTTTAAAAAATTTGACCAGAGAGAGAGAGGGACAAGAGACAGAGAAAGGGAAAGCGAGAAAGCAAGCCACCAGGTTCGGGACTCAAACCATGGTAGGCCATGTGGGAGCCCAGCGCCCTAACAACCACAGCAATTGCCGTCAGGGCCTTCTGATGTGGGGATTCGCGGTGCACTGCACAGTGTCCACACGGAAGTGAAGCGTTCTTAGCCAAGAAAAGGAGGCGAGATGCCAGAGTGCTCACGTAAGCGGGGTGGGGGGCGGGGAAAGCGGCCGCCACTTTAATCTAGTGGTTATGGTTCTGGACTCGGATAACACTGGGTCCTCAAGCATCTCCACCGAGATCCTGTGGCCCTGTGACCCTGTGGGAGCTTTACTGCCCTAGGCTGCGGCATCTGCCTCTCTAGAGTGGATAATACCCCCAAAAGCTAAATGAGGTAACGTTTGCGAAGCCCTCGGCCTAGTGCTAGGTAGAGGGCCAGGCACATGCTTTTGTATTCCTTTGTCATTTGAAAAAAAAAAATAAAAGTTTTATATATTTAAAAAAAAATCCATGCGGCGAGTTATTTTTGCTAGTGACCCCTTCCTCTCAGCACTTCTGCTCGGCTTCGCCACCTGAGGATAGGGGAGAGTGGGAGGCTCCGTTAGTCTGGAGGCCCCACAGACATCAAGGGTGAAGAGACCCACCTATTTGGAGGGTGCTGACTAGGTCGGTCCTTCCTGTCACTCAGCTTGCAGCCTGTGTCCAGGCTTGGAGCTGAGTCTGGGGACTATTGCCTGTGAACACGGCAGGTACAGTCCCTGCCCTGGCAGAGTCCTGGGCTGGCTGGGGAGCAGAGCTCAAGAGGTACATGAACAAAAACAACCCGAGACGGCGATCAACTGTGATCAGGGCAATGCTGGGTGGGGGAGCAAGTGCGAAGGCCCTGTGGTGGGAGAGAGGGCTGTGCCTGGCAGAAGGGAGAGGCAGGAGGCTGAGAGGGCAGGGCAGACTGCAGGGCCCAGGCTGTAGGGCTCTGAGGCCACGATGTAGGGTGTGGCATTTTCCTAAAGCCGTGGGAAGCCACAGGAGCATTTTAAGTAAGAGAAAGATGTGATCTCTAGCTTTGAGATGGAAGAAACAGGGCAGGAGAGGAGGCAGGAGAGCAGGGAGGAGGTGAGAGGCAAGTGGCCTGGCTGGGAGCTACAGGGAGTCTGGGAGAAGTGGATGGATCAGAGCATGATGAGAGGCAGACAGCCTCCAAAGGGCACTTCCTTTGTGGGCATCAGACTGAAGCCTCCACCAAGCAGCAGCTTAGCGGGTCCCTGAGGGGTTGGGTGGAGGCCTGGGCCAGCTGGATCTTACCTGGCCATCTGCAGGTAGAGCACCGTGTTCTCCCCCTCGTAGGTGCAGGAGGCTGTCACTCTGGTGACCAGTGATGGCAGGCCGCTCAGCTTTGAGTAGCCGTGGCCACCACACGCCCTGCGGCACAGCTCAGCTCCCTGGATGCAGAAGTCGGAAACCATGGCCTTCATGCCTGAGCTCAGTGCGTGGAGCTGCAGGAATGGAGAGGGTGGTCAGGCGGTGTGAGGGGGCCCTTCAGTGACAACCGGGCCTAACGCCATAGCAGGAAGGCACCATTTGTGAACCACAAAGAGGGCCCTCACCAGACACCGAATCTGCCAGGCTCTCCACCCTGGACTTCCCAGCCTCCAGAACTGTCAGGCACAAACTGCTGTTTCTAAGCCACCCGGTATAGGCTATTTTGTTATAGCAGCCCAGACAGACTAGACAGGAGGGCTGCCAAGCAGCAGGCCTGGCTGGAGTGTTTGGCACCTGAAAGCACCAACCCGTCTTTATGTCTGTATTTATTTTTTAACTCTTTATCATTTACTCATCTCTACAACTCTTGAGTCTTTGAGAGGAAGGTCGTGTCCTTTGACCTCTCTACTTTGGTTTCCTCATCTATGAAATGGGGTAAACGGTGCCTACTATTTGATTAGAAGGTTAATGAAACAAAGTTTATGAAGCACAGAGCCTGGACAGATCGTCTGTATTAGGTCCACAGTGTTTTATCTGAGACCTTTGACTGGGGTATATTTTAGAATCAGAATTATTTGTGGATTTTAGGAACATAAAAGAACATTTAAGGTATATTATATATAATACTTCCAGTGGGGTTTGGGGAAATCTTAGTAATTAAGACTAGTAGTTAGTAATGCTGCAAAACATTCAATAAATCAAGTCAGTTCTGGTCAAACTTTGCCTGTGTCTCCCAAACAACTCTGGGTTTTCAGCACGTTGTGGGTTTTGAATGCACAGCAGGGACCGTGGGTGTGTGTTTCCTGTACCGAGTGTTGTTCTCTCCTCTAACATTTCTGGAGCTCTCTAGGAGTCTGTGTGGCTGGGTTTATCTAGGAGGGTGCAGTTTACCCAGATGCCCCGGGAGGTTGGGGACAGTGCTGTGGGAATGGGAACAGGGCTGTGGCTGCGTCCCAGGGAGGAGAATAGTCTGGCTGCTGTCCAGCACCAGACCCCAGCAGACAGCAGGTACCTCAGGCAGGAAGCTGAAGTCCCTGTCCAGAATCGCATCGTAGGAGCGTTGGAAGAATTCTAGGAGACTGACCGCCTGGAAGTGGAAGGCGTAACTAACGGCCAGCTGGGGGAGGAGCTTCTGCTGCTGCGTCTGGTAGTCCAGGATTTTTGCCTCCGGGTCACTAGGTGGAAAGGAACAGAAGATTCAGAAGCTTGTGCTGGGGCACACTCACTTTCCCCCACCCCCAACACCAGAACAGCCTTAAAAATTGACAGTTTTTTTTTTTTTTTAAATTCTGTGGGTGTTTTTTGTGTGTGTTTGTTTGTTTTGTTTTTGCTGTAGGGTGCGTGTGCTCACTGGAGAGAGAGACAGAGAAAGGGAAAGTGAGAAATCACTCTGCCCTAGCGGTATGGATACACTGTAATTCCTTCTCTTCTGTTTTCCTTTGGGGATCTTGGCACACCGCATGGCCATGTGGGATCCAGCACCTTAACCATCATGTCACCTGGCTGGCCCCAAAGCTGAGAGTTCTTTTATAACTCAGTGCAATATTTGACCTGACCTGGGACCAGCAGTTGGCATAATGGCTATGTCACTGGACTCCCATGTAGTTGACGGCGGTTCATGTCCCGGACCCAGTGGCTTAAACTCATGCCAGGTGTGTGTGCGTGTGTGCCCAAGATCCCAAGAGGAGAATGGACGA